TGATGACCCTTTTTCTTTTTTCCTTTTTTTTTTTTCAAAAAGTTGATGACCTTTAACATATCACAGGGTCAAAGCACCTATGCTAATATTTGGAGGCTACTGCAGTTTACTATATTTATCTTATATATATATATATATATCGACCTTTCTATCACGTTCTGGATTGGTTGAGCTGTTCTGAAGAGCTAGATAGAGAAAGATGAATGGCGGATTAATTTTATTGACAATTAATCTGATAAATGGCCTCGTGACGAAATTATTGAGTTGGAACAGAGATGCTAACATGGAGAGGCAATCAAAGGACTAAAATCCATTTTCAGTCTTACATCATGTTTTGATCTAAACTTCAACTTATCTAAAGACATGAATCTAAATTTTACAAAAAAGAAGAAGAAGAGGAGATGATACCTGCAGATGGCTGCTCCTGAAGGCTGAAAAAGCAAAATATCAGAGAAGTAAGCTAGGTTTTGTTGTAGTTTGTAACTTTGTATATATATACAATTATAAGAGTGCTGGTAGTCAATGCACCTAATCGTATGCTCTGATGTGTATAATTCAAGGCAATGTACGTAACGTATCTTAATGTTACCGTGGGCTACTGGGGCTACTGGTTTTCTTCATTATTTTATCATTATTATTTCTTAGGTTGGGATGACGAGAAAAATATCAACCAAAATTTATTTTGTAAGTATACATGTATACATGCAATAGGAGAAAACGGGAATCCATGCGATGGATGCATGCAATGACTAATGTCTAATTAATGAGATATTTTGATTTATACATAAGAAGAAGAATCTTTCATTTTTTCGAATCAAAATAGTTTTCCAGCACATACTTTGTTATGGACACAATATCAATTAGAACAACTTTGGAGACAAACTATCAATTTGGAAGATTAAACATGCATTTCTTTTAACCTAAGAGCAGGTCAAGGCCCAAAACGCCTACACATAAATGGTTCAAATCCTAAAGACCGCAAGATCGAAAACCCTAATCAAGAACCCCGAAGTGACGTCTCTACGTCTCTCATCTCTTCATATTTTTATTCAAACCCCCTTGATATATTCTTTGTTACCCGCTCGGTTTGCAGTTGCTTTTTGACTTCATTTAGTTTTCTAGGATGTTTAGTTGTAATTTTATGGAAAACCTAGCTTAATTACAACTTTAGTAATGTTTGTTGACACCTATTACATGTGTTCACATGCTTTTTAAGGATGTGTTGTTGTTGGCCTTGTGGGATTAAACAGACATCAAAGTGAGTTTGGGAGTATAATTTGTAGCAAAAGGAGAATGGTCTTGTGGTTGTGGTCTAAAGGCAAAAACAAAAGCACCTTGTGTTTTGTGATGGATTTTTTTTGGAACAATTTGAAAGTAGGTTTGGGGGATAGGGATTACTCATTTTTTTAGTGTGTTATGTAGTACTTTGAACATTTTATCTGAAATGGGTAACAGATAAAAACCGATGCCTATGTATTGGTCACCAATTAATAAATCGATTTTAAACACACATTGTATCTGTTTGCTAAGCCAAATTTAGTATAATACTGCTCATCATCTGGAGAAACAAAAAGTGAAGATTAAAGTGTACGTGCTCACATTTAGTTTTGAGCCATATAATTGACCACCGAAAACATAAGAAACTAAGCTAAAAATGAACGACGAAATGTAGATGTGAAAACAATTCCAGTCAAAATTTCACATGCATGCATGCGCGTAGATGACAAATAATTAACATCAATTTGTTTAATATTTGAGTCTGCGGAAGTCCATGTGATTCTGTGAAGACTGAGAAAAATATCAATGATGAAGGGGACGTAAAACTCAGTTCCATTTTAGGCAAACGACATTCTTGATTCTTCTTTCCGTGTGTGGCTCTCATCCGACGGTCACATTTTGAGCAATGAAGTTGGACCCCATAAAACTGACCTCCCTGCACATCAATATACAGAAGAACAATGATTATATTCTCATTGCAGAGTAGAAAAAATTTCGGGGGAGTAGGGTGGGGAGTGGGGGACCAATCAACAGCGTTTTATTGACACTTACTTTTCTTCCTAGAATCGTAAATAGGTAGTTTACGACTTGGGGTAAATAATAACTCGGGTTATTTGACAGAAATGGTGATCTTTTGTGGTAAAAAAATCACGAGTTCGAGTCGTGCAAATGCGTACAATAAACGTTCATCCTCCGACCCTCACAAAGTGGGGTGAGCTTTGTTGATTTGGAGTCTCACTTTTTTTATTTTATGTTATAACAAAGGCTGTAGCTAGAGTGACATATAATCAATGTAGCATTTTATCTAGTACGAATTCGAAGTTCGACGTCTTTATTTGCCCTCCTCAATATAGGATTTTGAACAATTTAATCTAGCAACTTTGATATACAGGCCGACCGTAGCTAGGGTGACATATAATCAATGGAGCATTTTATCTAGTACGAAGTTCGTGGTCTCTATTTTACATCCTCAATATAGGATTTGAACCGTTTAAGCTAGCAACTTTAAATATAGTTTGAGTGTGACAGTCTCACAAATGTGCCATTACTAATTTATTTGTAATAAGTGGACGAAAAATAGTGATACTTAATGAACCTATGATATAGTATTAATAAATAAAATACGTGTAATACAAGTAGATTCATAACATCACATCACAGTGTGCAATTTTTTGTCCTAACACAACTTTATATATAATATCACCAACCATAATGCATGTAGTCATTTGTTTTTCCTTTCGTGTACGTATATTCTTTATTGTTTATTTTCTTTTCTTATCAAAAGTTGGTCGTTCATATTAGAATGCAATATTTTAAATTACTCTAACTTACAGAGAAAAAAAAATCAAATTCAAGTGCAAAGAAAGTGAAACATTGCCCTAATTAACCAACTAATCTATCTCAGTTTCACATATACATAATAGACATATAGGTGTACGAAACAAAACAATTAGTATAAACTTCATATAGTTCATTAAAGTTGTGACTCACTTGTACGTGTGCCAAAACAAAGGTGACTGATGCTTCAAAGAGTCAATTGCAGATTAATGATACATTTGCTTAATAAGCAGAAATTTCATTTAAAAAAAAACTATATTATCTACACTAATTAGAAGGAGGGGTGGGCTTAGTCTTACAATGTGTTAGCAATAATGTGATACAAACTCACTTTTGATGAGAATCAAATCTAAGATCTCTCACTCATAAGTGAAGAGGAATACCACTAAACCGTAGTACTAAGTGGCAGAAATTTCATATCATGCTTAATGACTAAGCCAAGAACATTATTAACACTAATCTGTGATCCATCGAAAGACATCAATATGTGTCGAACTGTTGTGAGCCATCGGTCCAAAGTATTTGATTTTCATTTCATTTTCGAGGAAGCTTGGTTTGCTCACACAACATTAAAAAGCTTTCCAGATTTAGCAAAATCCAGAAAGCTGGGTTTGCAGACAAAAGGGCAGGGTGGTTAACAGTCGCTGCATGCAATAAGAAATCAACACTTTGTAGGTTTTCTCGCGAAATTACGTATATACCCCCATAATTCAAAGCTTACATCTGTACAGCATGCTTGAGTATTGCGAGATCTTCTTCGTTCTAATTAGGCATTGAGATTACAGACCATGGACCACTTTGCTCATCTGCAATTCCATGTGCTCCCAAACCTACAATTTTAATAAGCAAGCGTTAAAATTTACCAGTATACACAACTAGGTGCAATCGGGTACTTCTCTACGCCCTGTGATCTGTATTAAAATTGACCAGTGCAAATGATATGAATATTTATGAATATCAATTGTCATTAATTGTTAATCTTTAAGAAAAAAAAAATTTAACAGGCAATCAACAATGTATATAAAGATGAACAATTATATATAATTAGTGCAGAATTAACTCGGAAACAAAGCAGGGACGGAGCCAGAAATTTCTTCTAGTGGGGGTAATCGAAAACAACTAAGAAAACCTTATTATATTATGGTTATACGCAATATGATATTAAAGATAGTTTCAAATGATGATGTATCACAATTCCAATGTTACAAAAATTTCAATATGGTAGTGGAAAGTGGCAAAGTGATGAGAAAAATATAAGTACATTATAGGCGGGAGATGGTTTTATCAGTTTGAATGACAGAACAAGAGCATTATTGCTCATATAATATTTGATATGGAGTATAAGTAGAATGAATGTATGTTGGATATTAGATACATATATTTTCTTCAAAGATAACTCGTGTATATTATATAATTATGGTCTGCAACTAAACAAACTAATTACTTGAGTGGGGGCATCTGCTCCTATTGAGCCTTCATTGGCTTCGTCCATGAAACAAAGATGTATATACATAAATGGAAATGCTTGAAACGATGAGTTCACTAATCATGGTTAAATATACCATTGTAAATAAATCAACAAAGGTTGTGATTAATGTTTGGTGTGGTTGAAATGTTACCATGCTAATTAAGGAGGCATTTTGGACATATTGATTTGAATTTACATATGCTAAGGAGGCATTTTGGTAATATAGTTTGGAAAGATGGGCCAATTGACAAGCTAAGTTATCTAAATGTAGAGTCTCTGTATAAGTTCATCTTGCCAAACTTGAAACCCAACAAGGCAAAGAGAGAAAGCAGAGGTAAAGCAGCAATCCCTCTAAGTCTTTGGCTTCCAAAGTCCTCCTTCTACCTCTATCTCTCTCTCTCTCTCTCTCTCTCTCTCTCTCTCTCTCTCTTCTACATATGTCATCATTAGGGTTTTTAGAAAACTAGGTTCTTACTTCTGATCACAGTTCTTTTGTTTATTGTAGCACTCTTTCATTTAAGATTTTTATTGGGTACAACTCTCTCATCATTTATTTTCATCCAACAAAAACAAGAACCCTTTAGTACTTATAGCATACTAATAATTAAACAATTTTTTTTCCATATATAATCCACATATACATGCTTTTTTATGCTCAAATATGTATTTTTAAACTATCTAATTGTTGGGTTTTTGGGTCTTGATCTAAATCAGGAATTTGAGCACTGGTAGAGTCAGAGTTCCATAAATTTCTTCTAGCTTTTCCTACAAATTAAAGAAGAAAAATTACGTAAATATGGGAAGGGGCAAGATAACAATTTCGAGGATAGAAAACAAAACCACAAGGCAAGTGACTTTTGCGAAACGGCGGGCAGGACTGATCAAGAAGACTCATGAGCTTTCTGTGCTATGTGATGCCCAGATTGGCCTTTTCATTTTCTCAAGCACTGGCAAGATGTTTCAGTACTGCAGTGAGGCATCAAGGTAATGAACTAGTCCTCCCACTTTTTCTATGTTTTATTTTCTTGCTTTCTTGGGGACTTTTTATGGGTTTGTTTTATTTTTTCTTTATTCGACGTGTTTCTTAGATGGGTTTTATTTACTGATCTGGTTGCATAATTTGTGTATATTTGTTCAGTTTGCAAATTAATGGTTACAGAAGTTTTTCTCTTTTCTTTTCACACAGAAGATCATATTTTGGTTTCAGGGTTTGCTTTGTTTCAAATCACAACTTCTCTCTCCTTTCTTTTTTCTTTTCACCGATCTATGTGTTTTACCGTTGTTGTTGCCATTTGGGGTTTTCGTTTTTTCTACACTGTTCTTGGGCATGATCTGATCTTAGTATCTCTCTCCCAATCTGTAACTTATTTATTTTTCCTTTAATTTATTTTTTCTCAGCACCGCAGGTTGATTTTTACACAGTGCTATGGTTTGGTTTTCAGTTTTGGCTCAATAGCCTCATCAAATTTAAATGATTTGACCAATTGAGTTCATCTACTTGCTATTTGCTCAGATCTGCATACCTAGGGTTTTCGAAACCCTATTAATTTCTGACTGTGGCACTCATGCTGTCCTATGTCAGCAAAAACAAAGAGTAAGAAAACAAATAATTGATAATTCACGGTCAACAAATATTTCTGCCACGGACTCTCAGTTGAATGTTGATGTCTACCTACTTCAATCTCTACCGTATCTTACTCTTTATTTTCACTTGATCATTTTCCCTTTTGAATTTTGGGTAAATCGCTTTTCAGATTTTTTTTTCGTTATGGCACTCATAGCCAATATTGTTGCACGAAACGTTTTGGTGAATTATTTTTCCACATTTTTACTGAGTAAAATGTAAATTAATTATATGACATACATATGCCTGTCAGTTATAATGTTACATGTCTAATTAAGTTATATGCGATCCAACTTTAGAATCAAAATTCATTTTAATTAATATCATCATCTTCATGGTTTTGTTTGTATGTCTTATAGCGTGGATGAGCTTATTCAAAGGTACCAGGTTGCTAAAGGGATTCGAATACCGCAACACAATGACACGGTATATGCACCCGGTGATTATGTACTGAATTTCAACTCAAAACCAATATGATTGTTCTAAGTGCTTATGTTATAAGAATTATTTGTGACACACCTTCTATTTGTTATAGGAATATATGAATGCTGAGTTGGGAAAAATGAGGAGAGAAACTCACCATCTGGAATTAAGTTTGCAACGCTACACGGGCGAGGATCTAAGTTGCATTCGATTTGAAGATCTGGTGGAGCTTGAACACCAACTGGAGGCGTCTGTTAACAAGGTTCGAGCTAGGAAGGTATTATTAATCTTCAATTGTCTCCTAATTATTACATCTTTTAGTTGATGTTGTATATTTGCATTAACTATATTTCACTAGTGTTACAGGTTTAAATTTGGCACTGTATGATTTGTAACAAGGTCACATTAGAAGGTCCCTGATCGATGGCCATTCATGAAAATTCTACTATGCTCTAGTATATTCAATAAACCAAGACTTTTAACTGTTAGATATTGATTAGTGAATTTTTTACCAATGATCTAATGGTTGAAATCTCAGTGTATATGATACTCTGGAACATACTAAAAAATCACGTGTTTTAATTACCTAGCTAACCTTTTTTGTTCATGAATTTCTTGTTTTTCTTTTCCAATGACTAATTGGAAATTGCCTTACAGTTTGAGGTCTTGCAACAGCAGATAGCCAATCTTCTTGCGACGGTAGGTTTTTAAACCCATGATTTCTAGCAATATATTCACTTTTTTGGTTAATATGATCTAAAGTACTGATGGGTTGCATTATCATGAAACTTAGACCAAAAGACGGGAGGAAGAAAATGAGAAACTATTCCATCTGGTGAGTATCTGCAGGGTTATATCTAATTTTGAAATTTCTGAAATGTTGCTTACAAATTAACATGCATGACAAAGTGTTGCTTACAAAAGTTTGATTAATTTAAATGTGTATATGGAAATTTAGATTAAGGCGCATCAGGCAGCAGCATTTGGTCATGATCTGCAGGCGCATAATGAGGCTCACGAGCAGTTGGAGAATCTGGAGATGATACGGAAATCTGAGGAGCACCGACACGTGCTCGATCAATTCCCATTTACAGGTGAAGAACAACCAAGCAGTGTACTTCAGCTAGCTACTTTGCAGCCTCAGCCTCAGTTCAACCTTTACCCTCACCAGCCTGCTCATCATCATCCCGGCCTTCTCGATTTCAACCTCAGCGGCCCCTCTATATACGGTATACGTATATATACAGCAGTTATACATATTATATAGTTGATCATGATCACACAAAGTGTTTAATTAATTACACTGGTGATATATACAGCCTAATTTTTTATTCTTTTTTTTTTTCCAGTTACATATTCGTACCACAGCTTACAACACTAATATAATTTTGTCTGAACCTTATTAGTTTTGTTGTTCTGCAGAGTGACAATTTATGAGAAGGGATAGCTAGCTTCTGGCATGCATGCATCAAGGTTAAAAGGGGTGTCTGAATCCTCTTCGTGCTGGAATATTACAAATATCTGAACTACTTTTTCAGGGTTTTTGGACTTATTTATAAATATGACTTATTAAGAATATTATATGATGTGGTTTTCTAGCAAAAGATGATGTAGTTTTCAGGCTTTTCTAGCAAAAGATGATGTGGTTTTTGTTAAGATATGTTTATATCATGAATATTGATGATGAGTGTCTGTGCGTAATCACTTATATTTTACAATAGACTCGCTTTCAGTGATCACTTATAGTTTACAATTAATTACCGACATTATGTACATTTTTTCTTCTTTAAAATTTTTAAACTTTTTTTTTTTTTTTTGAACAATTGACCGAATAATTTACATAAATCTACGGGAGGGGAATTCGAACAAGGACCTCGAGTGCAAAGACAAATGCTCTTAGCCAACTGAGCTACAAGCTACTTGCTATAAGTTAATGCTTTAGAAATTATTGAAGTTAGTAAAAATGTATTAGAAATATATAGAAGTAGAGCTGTTGTAGACAAATCAAGACCAAATTAACAAGATGCAATTTTTATGCATGTTTATCAGTTTGTAAGTAGAAGTAGGTAGTTAAAAATTAAAATTGACTATTCTCCAAAATGTTTTTGTATATGGCATTTCTTCTTTGTTTCCTATTTCAGATCGATGTGAGGGACATAAAACCAATGGATTGATGAGAGAAAGTCTGTTGGTAGTGTTTGTCTCTTGTTTCTAGGTTCGTTGATGCTGCTTGTGTGATTAGCCAACATTTTTCCTTCCCATTGCGAGACTGGTATTCGTAGTGCGACTCCTGCTTGTATTTCTCTTTGCTTCAATCTTGGATCACAAGCTTTCGTTTAAGACAAACTCTTCAATGTGACTGCAACATCACCACCCAATGCTACTAATTTATTTCCACACACATTATAAACAAGAGAATCATATTTAATGATATTTTTTTTGTTTAGTTAAGAAGCACCCTTACTAATTATGGTACTAAAACTTTACTTATTTACACAAACTGATTCAAATGTATCAAAGACGTTTTAGCTAACAGTCACCATTAATCAAGATCCTCCATTGAACCTTTGATTACAAGACAAACGTTACCATTTATTTAACTATCACCCTTCATTTTAAAGCCTGAGGGTCCCTAAAATACCTCTATGAGTTTCTCCAATCTCCAGATAGATGAACTGCCATATCGAAACCACAGACTAATTTTTTTAAGGAAAACAAAAAAGAATAATCAACACACAACATAGAAAAAAATGTTTTTTCTTTTTAGTTTTGCATACACATACCTAAATGAAAGGGACAAATTGCATATTTTTTTCATCCCGAGGGGGAAATAATTAAAATATTGCAACGTGACAATGAGAATTGAATATTCATGTGTTTGTATAAATACTCTATTTTCTCCTAACAACACACATCAATAATTTTCCTCAAAAGAAAAAAAAGCATGCATCAATAACTCTTTTTTTAAATGAGATCAAGTGATGGCTTTGTCAAGGTAGTCCACTCTTTCGAGAACTGAGAAACTCACATAGGTATTTTAGTCTCTCCTAACCACCATTGTGTGATTCACTATAAATCGTGCCGTGTAGAACACATGCATCAATAATTCAATGATAAAAGAAATATATCTCACATTTTTAATTATGTCACTATATGATTGAACATAATTTAAGAGTAAACTGTCGATTTACCCCCTGAACTTTCACTTAGCTTTCGATTTCCCCCTGAACTTTTCTATTGGAAAATTAAGGATTCAAACTAATTTTTTTAGCTGATTTGCCCCCTACCGTTAGTTTTTCATATAGTCCATCCATATTTCTATTAAGTGAGATCATGTGCACAACATGTGAGGGTAGTTAAGTCATTTCACTCTTAAAAATGATTAAAAAACTGGAAATAAATAAAAAAACAAAATTTTCCCTTTATTTTTCCCGCTAATTCCTATCCTCAATTTTATTTTTCCCTCTCATTTCCTATGCATGAGAAATGACTTATGGTGTTATTGTCTTCATAAGTAGCTAAGTTAGTCTTTGTTTTGAAGCATGTACTACCATTTTTATTTTCTCTAACAAATTAATAATTTGACAAATGCTTTATTGTCTCCAAAGCAGTGCATTAATATAAGAAACATGTTCATAATACATAAAAAATGTTCAAGATAATTACATACTTTTCATAATGTCATAATAATCCCAATACAATTCCACAAAACGATCCTTAAGAAGTTGGAAGACATAAGAGATTTTACCATCCATAAGGTATATATCCCATTGAATCTCGATTACAAAATATGGCCATTCCACTTAACCAAACACAAGCAAAATAAGGTTTTAGTTATCAAAACAAGAGCACAAACATTCTGCTCGAAACACACGACACATGGAGATCAACTACACTTTCTATGGCCTTCCTCGTTTGGTTGGAATCTTATACCTTGTTGATGCACAAAATCAGTGAGGACTTTGGTACAACAGAAAGTGTTAAGTTTGTGACCTTCGCTAGATTGCTCCGGTTACTAGTGTGGATAAGTATGTAAATGGATAGGGACATGGAAGCAAACACAAGATGTACGTAGTTCATCCAGATTGGCTACGTCCACGGAGTAGAGGAGTTCTCATTAATTGTGAAGAGTTTACACAAGTACATAGGTTCAAGCTCTCCTTTAGTGAGTACTAGTGAATGATTTAGTACAAATGACATTAGGAAATATTGTGAGAGAATGATCTCTATTTATAGAAGAGAGTTTCTAGTTTCATTCTGACATTGACACGTGTCGTGTTGTGATTGGCCTTCTGGTTGGAGGGAAACTCTTATAGGTCCTTGACAGTATAACGTTGACCGGTACTCAGTAGTTTCGGGATTGGTCAAGTACGGTACAAACATACCTAAACCTATTTTCATTTCTAATGGCTGAGTAAAGTTAAGGGTGTTATGCTTTCCAACTTCTTAAGGATCATTTTGTGGAATTGTATTGGGATTTTTATGACATTATGAAAAGTAGGTAATTATCTTGAGCATTTTTTTATGAGTATTATGAACATGTTTCTTATATTAATGCACTGCTTTGAAGACAATAACACCATGAGCATTTGTCAAATTATTAATTTGTTAGAGAAAATAAAAATGGTAGTACATGCTTCAAGAAAAAGACTAACTTAGCTACTTATGAAGACAATAGCATCATATGTCATTTCTCATGCATAGGAATGAGAGGGAAAAAATAAAATTGGGGATAGGAATTAGCGGGGAAAATAGAAGGAAAGTTTTTTTTCTTCAGTTTTTTAATCATTTTTAAGAGTGAAATAACTTAACTACCCTCACATATTATACACATGGTCTCACTTAACAAAAATATGAATGAAATATATGAAAAACTAACGGTGGGGGGCAAATCGGCTAAAAAAATTAGTTTGAGTCCTTAATTTTCCAATAGAAAGGTTCAGGGAGGAAATTAAAAGTTAAGTGAAAGTTTAGGGGGGTAAATCGACATTTTACCCCATAATTTAAGAGTAGTGATATTTCCACCCCGGTGTCTTATTTCCCCACCCACCATTTAATGAAAATGTTAATAACATATTTATCCTTTTAAAAGAAGACTCTTAAACCCTAGGGTGCGTTTGTTGCGCCGGACTGTCTTGGACTGGACTAGCTGCCGGGACTAAGCTGGACTGGCTTAGACTGGACTAAGCTGGACTAACTTAGTGAAGCGTTTGGTGCAGTCTCGGACTAAGAAGCAGGATAAGAAAAACAGTACTGTTCACCAGATTTGTGTTTGCTTAGACTAGGACTACAAATTTTTGCCATTGTGTAATAGAGTAATGCTACAAATCTCATGATATGGGTTAATTGGAGCATATTTTTGCCATGTATATTATGAATCTTAAAAAAAATTGACAATTGTTTTGTTTCTATTACCTGCTAATAGAATTGGGTTTAATTTGCAAATGTAGCTTGATTTAAACTCTATCACCCAACCGAAGAAATATTTTGCCTTAACTGAATTGCTAGCTCTCAGTGGGTTTGAGTGGAATGAAGAGAAAATGATGTTGGCTTGTGAGAAAAGTGCGTATGACGAGGCTACGAAGGTTTGCGTATATCTGATTGTATTTTTTGTTTTATCTGATTGTGTTTTGTTTTTAGAATCTCAGTTCCTTGATTAATTACACTGAGTTCAAAATCTCAGAGTTAATATCATCATCTTCTTAATTACGAATCAGGATAATGCACTAACAACATACATAGAAAAAGAAAAACCTCCATGGGAGGTAATTCCAAGTTCTTTACTGACACCATCACCATACACTCAGAAACCACTTGAAGCTAGATATTAGAAGGATTACAGTGCACATAAACAAAAACTGAGACTTGTATGAAAGACATAGCTTTTTAAATACCAGCTCTTTCATACTGTAAAGAAAAAAGAGTTATGACAAACTTATAGATGATCTGTTGATCTGCCAGCTTGTGTGGCAACATAAAAGAGTATATATATATATATATATATATATATATATATATATATATATATATGTATATCTTTTCGGAAAGGTTCACCCATCATCCCTCTGAAAAAAGGAAAAACTTAACATTGTTTTTTTGTTTTCCATAGCTAGCACACGTCAAAACATCCTGCCCTGTCCATTATTAATTGTTCTGCCTCTTGTCCTTTCTTCAAAGATCGATTTTTCACTTCTTCCTCTTTACGCTGCCCTCTTCATCCTGTAATAGACCAAGAATTAATATATTGTATTACACGTCTTGTGTTTTGTGTTTTTTTTTGTAGGGTAAAAAGGATGCAAGTGGATTGTACGATAAGCCTTTTCCGCACTACCACAGTTTGGGAGAGATTTATGCAAAAGATCGTGCTATGGGTGCAAATGCTGGTAACGCTGATGACGATGAAGAAGAAGTTAGACTTGAAGATGCCAATGTCAATCAACATGAAGGTGAGGATGAAAGTGGAAATGACTTTGATACTTCTTTCTCAGTACCAAATACCCAACAACAAAGGAATGCAGAAAGTAACACATCAAACATTAGTCGCAAAAGGACAAGAGTAGCGGATGAAATGGCCAAGCAATTCTCTATTATGGCTAAAGCTATAGCCGATGTGGGACCTAAGATTGATGGTCTAGTTCATGCACTGTCAACCGATATAAATCTGACCGAAATGCAACAAAAACTTGA